AGAAGAGAGAGAGAGAGAGAGAGAGAGAGAGAAAGGGGAAAGAGAGAGGATGACAAAGATGCATATGAATTTTTTGTAATTATTTTTGAAGTTTCCTAAACTATTGAATTTATTTTAATTACTTTAACAGAAAAAAATTTACTGGAAAAAAAAGAAAAAACGAAAAATTTTATTAAAATTCAATTTTGTTTAACAAATCGATTGGATGATAATTGGAAAAGATAATAAAATTTCGTAAAAAAATTTTTTTAATAATAATATTTATTTCTTTTTTATTGCTTAATTAAATGAAATAATATTATCAAATATTTCATACAAAATAAATTTAGCCAATTGAATTAAAAGCACTAAATGTAATAATTTGTGTTTTAATATTGGCAAATGATATTTTGATAGAAATGATAAATAGAAATAATTACTAATTTCAATTGGTACTGTCTATTGACTATTATACAAATATTGGGTTGATGATGAGTGTAATCTGCTCTATTTTCCCAATCATATATTGCCGATTTATTTCCGTAAATATAAACAAAAACCGTTTATCAAACTAGCAATGCAATTCGTAATATTTGCTATTTTACATTTCAACAATATCCTTACCTTTTATTTTCTAATCAACTAATTAGTTACTAATTAATAACTAATTAATAACTAATAACTAACTAATAACTATAACTAATTAATCAACTTACTATATTCTAATTTCTCTCTTTCTCTCTCTCTCTCCCTTTCTCTCTCTCTCTCTCTCTTAATATACCTGATCTAATAAGTGCTTTTGATTAGATATCAATATTAATTTTTCAGTTCTTCCATTTTAACTTAATGCTAACTTCAATTAACACTAACACTTGAAATTGCTTTTTCGGTTTTTCTTTCCAACATCATTTCCATTCGATAATTTAATAAATTTTAAGTACAATTAAGTAATTATTGCTTATTTTAAGTTTTCAAATTTATTCAATTTCAAATTTGCGTGTAAAATTTTGTTATATTCACCTGTAAAATGAGCATTTAATTCATCTGTAAAATCGATCATGTTAATGGTAACAATGTAAACATTTTGAATTTGTTCAATGATTCAATGATTCATCAATCTAAAAATAGTTTCACTGTAATCATGAATGCTTTTATTGAATAAAAATTAATATTTGGAAGAATGTGAGGAAAGAAAGGTTGGCGCATTTTTATTTTTTTTTCTGTATATTTTATCAAATTAATTAATTATATTTTTTTAATAATTTAACTAATAAAATATTGTAATTTTTTGTTGGTTTATTATTATATTTTCTTAATTAATAAATTAATTTTACCTTTTCCACTTATTAAGATAGATTTTTTTTTTTTGCTCATTCTGTTGAGTATTTCCGATATATTTTACATAATAATTTATATTATTTAAATGGAATATATTTAAATGGGAAAATATTTAGCACTCATTTTATAGAGATAAAAGAAAATCTGCAAAAAAGTTAAATATATTTTATTTTGAAATCTTTCAGCAAAAAAAAGAAAAAAATTTAATCATTTATTCAAAAACTATCGAAAAATGTCACATCACTGCGACATATCCGCTATTACTTCCTTTTCCATCCATTTTTTTTCCTTTTTTTTATCAATTGTGATGAAATTTTTCGTACTCTATTATTTAAATTAATCAATTTGATGCCTGTAATTTGGAAATAATTTTCCAATTTGTTAAAAAGAAAAAAAATTTACCTTCAAAAACGAGCAGTTGTCATACTTTTGTTTAATGTTATCCATACATTATTTTTCTATATATATATAGTTCTGTCATATAACAAATTATTTAAATACTGAAAGCATAGAGAATTAATATTTTTATTTTTTGTTTATATCTATAAGAGTTTCACTCTTGAAAATAAAAATGTATTTCAATTGCTTGAAATAATTATAGGTTTATTGAATGGTTTAAGAGTGATTAAATCATTTCAAAATTGAATGTTTAAAAGAAGTGGTTCTGTCTTTTTTAGTTCGTTTTTTTTTTTTTTCAAATGAATCTATTCTTGAGAGTACGTGATTTACGTGTGGAAAAGAAACAGTTACGTGGAGTTGAATTCTTGAATTCATGATTTTTTTTAAAAGATAAGATAACAAGCATTTTTGTGAAAACTCTTCATTATTACTCGAATATGCTCATTTACTTTTACATTTTAATTCCATTCTTGTGGCTAAAAAAAGGAAACAATATTTACTATATTTGGTAAATATTTAATGGTTGCCTTGATTAAATAGTCAAAATTTACTTTACCATAATGATTAAAAGTTATTACTTTTGAGAAAATCAACAATTTGGTTTCTTCTTTAATGATCGAACAGTTTGAAACAATTGAAATATATGCCAATTAATGGTACTTCCCAATTTTGCCAATAAATGGTACTTCCCAATTTTAATCATTTTAAAATGAAGCAAGAAGAGAGTGTCATTTTAAATAATTGTACAAATCATAAAAGAAATTATAATTTCTTAGAGTAAATTGAAACTATCTGTTTGAAAAGTTACTGCAAAATAATAAATCTTTGCTAACGTAAATTACACGTAAAGTATTTGTTTGTACAAAATTAGAATTTTCTGAAGAAAAAAAAAAGAAAAAACGATAAAGTTATAAGTGACGTGAAATGATGAATGTTATCATCGATACACGAAAAAGAATATTGAAAATTTACGTGATTACTTATTTCATCTATACCTATGAAAAACCTATCACATATATATATGCCAATGAAAAGTTGACACATTCGAATGGCGCATTTGTCTGAATAACTTTGGAAGAAAGATCATAGATTGTCTAATTCAAAAATATAAAAATAGTATTGGAATGGATTAATGTCATATAATAAACATATGACAATGTACCAATGTACAAATTACTTCATTTGAATAATTACAATGAATGTAGTGGAATTCTGGAATGTAAAAGAATTCTGGAAATGTTAGAAAAGGTAATTCTCTGAAGATAAATTAATTTTTCATTCTTTCATCTCTTCACAAAAATAATTAATTCATCATTGTTTTTGGCTGACAATAGCAGCACTGTTTAACTCTTGTACTAATTAATCATTTAGGTGAAACAGTCAAAATTCAAGTTACTTTTATTATAAGTGTTAACATTTGTTGGTAGTAAATAAATTTTTAAAATTTATGAAATTTGATCTTTTTTTTGAGAAATCCATAAATTATGAATTTTTGAAAAAAATTGAAAATCTACCGCAATTAATAATGATGGATTGAATGGAATAGATAAATAATTTGTAAATTGAGTAAATAAGCATGTTTATCAATTGCAAACATACTGTAGCTTCTTGAAAGTATCAAATATACATGAATGGTATTTGACGGTGATTGACTGAAATCGCCTCATTTTTGAATTGTTCCATGAAATACTCTGCAAGCAATAGTAATTACTTAGCTTTATTCCTGAAATGAATGAATATTTCCTAATAATTTCTTCCAATCATTTCATTTTGCTTTCATCAACTGATATTTCATGTGTAAACCATTTAAACCGTAATTTTTGTTTTTATCAATTAATTCAGGAAATTGTAATTTCAGAAAAATTTTAAAGTTCAGTTACTTTTAAGGAAACAAATATTTTTCGTTAATATACTAAAATTAATTTTGACTGAATTTTTAGGAAATAATGAAAATTTTATTTCTAACATTACTTTAGCATAGTTGATAAGGTCATTTAAATTTTTTCAGAAATATTTAATTTCATTCATTTTCAATTGGAATAATGTACTTTTTGCCACGAACTTTTCCTTATTATATTGCAAGGAAAAAAAAAGGAAAAAATGTGGAAACAACAGAAAAAAAAAAAAAAACCTGAAAGGAAAAATTATTCCTACAAATGATTACAGCATATAGTAATGGTCAAATTTTGTCATTTGTACAATTTGAGTTTATTTATTTAACAACTAACTTGTTTGGAAATTAATTGTAACACCTTTAATTAAATTCTAAATAAGACGATTAAATAGCAAATTCATTTCAATTATATGTTTATTTTATTGTAAAATTATTCATTTGAATCCGTTACATTAATTACTTTACGTAACGTTTCTTGGTGGTTACATGAAAAAATTCCTACGGTGACATTGAGCGATTTTTGTAGAAAGTACTAAATCATTTTATCTCATTTTAGCATCGTAATGGTCTTTTGGTTTCTCTTCAATTGCATTCAGTTAAATTCAAAATTCAAAATGGATTTAAATTTTGTTTTTTTAAAATTGGTAAAAGTATTCCTTCACTATTAGTAGTGATGAGTTCAGAAAGAGAATAATGGTTTTATCATTTTTGGATGCCTTTTAACTTTTTAGATTATAAAATATAGAATACAAATAAATAATTTGATGCATTTGATTTATTATTCAAAATGAATAAGCGTTAAATTAAATGATTTTGTTTAGAGGAAATTATTTAATGCATAATCAGTTTCTGAATTTTTTTTATCATCTAAAATCATATCAATGTAACACAAATTTACCTTTCCCATATATTAATCATTTCCCATATTTGATTTGATATGAACATTTCTATGTTTACCCCACCATTAATAAAGATTTCTTTCCTTCCTTATCATTTTATTATCAATTAAAATTTCATCATTTAAACAATAATTGATCATATCACACACTCCTATTCATTTATCACTATTGTCAACCCCGACACATATAATATGATTCTGCTACTTACTCATTTGCAAATTTATTCCGTCTCTTTTTTATTTTATTTATTTATTTATTTATTTTTTTGAAAATTTACAATTTATTCGTTTTTGCTAGAAAATATTGATGGATTAGCGTAGTAACGAAATTATTTATATTTACAAATTAATTAGGTCTTTTTTATACTTTCTTTTAAATGAGCATTTTTTGAATTTTTGATAAAAATTCGGAAAATATTTTTGATTTTAAATGGAGAATTGTGCTATTCATTGCAATTAATATCTATTTCTTCTAATTAACTTTGTTTTCTTTTCTACTTTTCTTATATTGATTTATTTGATCTGATAATTGAAATCGATGAGTTAATTTCATTTTATTTCAGCAATTCTTTTTTAACGATCTTTTTTTAATTTTCAAAACCATCAAGAATTGACATATGTTCTCTAAAAAAAAAAAGAAAAAAAGAAAAGATTGACATATGCTCTCCAAAGAAAGTTATAATGTTTTATGATTGAAAGCAAAAAATAGACAAATAAATAAATGAATAACTCTTTCAGTGTAAAATGTCAAAGAATTTTATCCTTATCATATTTACCAATCTGTTAATTGATGAAACAAAGTATCCTGGAATGATATTTCCGGAAAAGTTGATCTGTCTATCAGGTTGCATCAACCTTTTGTATTAAAAAGAGGTAAAACGAAAAAAAGATGATGGACTGAAAAATGTCTTTATGGCATTTTTTTTTTTCTATCGGTAGATAATTTTATTGAAATATCTAAGTGACATTTGTTTGCTCTAACTATATTACTTAAATCTCATCATATCTTATCATAAAAACAGTATACCTGAAACTGCATGCAATAACGTGTACTGATAAGGGTGAAACTTTGAACATAGCTTTGTCGATCTTATCATTTTCTGTTATCATCAGCATTATGTCACCATATATTAATTAAATCTTTCTTTTTTTTTTTAGTTTTAATGTGAGTTGACATTGCTGACATCGACAAAGAATGGAAAAATCATAAATCAATTACTATTGTAACCATGCGTGGCTGATGACAAGTACAATTTATGCCATTATGCAATAAGCCAAATTCAGTCTTTTTAAATTGCTATTTGATAATTTGATAAAATTCAGGTGACAGAATACATAAAAGTAATGATAGAATATAATTTTATTCAGAAAAGTGCAATAGAATCGTTTGAAATATGCAAATTTATTTTCTTCATTTATTTAAAATCTTTGTGTAAATAATGATTGAAATGTTATTTGTTTAATAAAATTGATGATTCATTGATCTTATCAAAAATATCTCAATGTGAATTGTTTATTTCATTGATAAGACGTTGCAAATTTGCCGAGAAATATTACAATCGACAATCATTTATTTGTTAATAAGCCAAATTGCAGATAATTAATGATAGCATTTCGATGA